TATTCCTTTAAAAATCCAGGTTAGCAGGATTATCTCCACTAACTTGTATACACTTTTGAAGCTGAATCGCTTGAAGAGTCAAATGATGCATTAGACTCCACTCGTAATTTGTGGGGTTTTGATCTCATTTTGTTCAAACAAAATGAAGACCATTTTTATACCCACATAAGTAGAATTCTACGAACTCCTTAGAACACACATGTATACAAGACTTCAGACTTCTAAAAAATACATGAACATAGAACACACGAGTAGAAGACTTTGACTTCTAAAAATTACATGAATATAGAACATTTTAGAACATAAAGAGTTTTAGAGAATAGATGAATATAGAAAAAATTAAAATTGTAGATTTATAAATTTTTTAAAGAAATCTTATACTAATATTACAAACAAACCTGGATTGGGTAGAATCTAATGGAATTGTTTCATCAAGAGGAGGTGAAAGTGGCTTGATATCTTCTGATTCATTTACAAAAGGTTGCGCTTACCACGCACCGTGCATTAATATGAAGTCATCAATGAAGATTTTTGTGTGGATCAAGTTTGATTTCGCTTGTGTTGATAATTGGCATCCATCTAATACATGTATACATACATTCAAATTGACATGTAACCACTACTTGTATTGTGTGGTAATATGATGAGATTTAATTGTTTGCCCATGTTAATTTTGCTTGATAAGGTGGTATATGTCACTATCGTCACGTAGTTGGAGGTTCTAATACTAATGATTTCATGTCAAGCATGAGCAAAAAGGTTTGATATGGAGAAGAGTTACAAAGAGATACACTTCATTAGACCCAAATTCCTATTGTATGATAGTAGATATTGGGTGCGTCGTGTTCGCCATGTCGTTACTATATTCACTCAATCAAATATAACATATTATCACATTATTAACATTATTATAAATAAGTGAGCCAACTTTTTTTGAAATGGTGCATTGTGAATGGGTAGGCATCATCATGGCCGACCTTGGGCATAGATGGCACCGTCGGTGACGGCGCATCAGGCTCGTTGGAGCTTCTCGCTAGTGACGTTGGCGCGCACAACATGACCTTCAAGAGTTTTTTTTTGTCAACCATCAATTGTTGTGATGTCCATCGCCGGTGACTCATTTTTTGGGCTCGAAATTACGAATCCATTTTGGCGACTTCCCTTGCCTACATTGTTCCATCGACCGGAGGTTGTTCACTTTGGAGACCTGATGCGGCATTATCAATGGGTAGGTATCATCAGGGCTGGCCTTGGGCATAGACGGCCCAGACGGTCGCCTAGGGCATCCTCTAATTTGAAAGGAGTCAGGTTTCTCATTTGAAAGTTCGCCTAGGATCTCTAAAAATTTTGAAAATATCAAGAGCGGCCCTAGTAGGTATACCAATGACATACATGAATTTTGGGAGTCTCAGGGTCAACCCCGGTAAGTAAACCAATAACGTGACATGTACGAAGCAATTAATATCCACTCCTTGTGTGAAGGGGATTCTGTGGTGTATTCAGTGTATCAAACAGAACAATTTTTTATGAGCCGGTGCAGAGCCCAACTCGAGCTCTATGTTGGCGCATTGGGTTCCGCACCATCTCAAGATATAATCTCTCTTTTCTTGCTTTATTAAATTAGGTTTGCATATTTTTTATTTTTTTAGTTGTAGGAATTGCATATAACATCTGGTAAAACATAGATTAATCATCAAGCAATAATATACTCTCAAATGGTGGGTGATTTCGTTTTATGCCAAAATTCTCACTAAACAACTCAAGAAGTTCTATCATTCAAAACCTTATTAGGAATAACCTTCTCTTTGAATTTATAGACTTCTGTTTCAAGAAATCATGATTTTTATGCAATAGTACTCTAATATCCAAAGCAAACTCAATCATAAATGAAGGATTTGATCACACCGTTTAAGATTTCAAGTTTATCACTTCAACTAATTTCTGAGTTCTAAACTGGTCTGTTGTGCATGTAAAAGCACAGATGATGTCCTGACCCTTCTTTTTGGTGATAAGTAGGAGGATTGTTCTGTTCCAAAAGGCCATAAAGGTCAATGTCCATATCTTAATCTAATTCTAGCCAAATATTCATTTTTTTCCAAAAATGAACTATTTTTGGTCAAGCAATAAAATAGTCCCCAATTATGAATTCCCTCCCTCGTTCACAAGTTTTTCCCACCAACATGTAATTTCTAAACTTTGAAATATTTTTGTCACTGGTCAAAATGTCCATTGGTTTAGTCCATCTTCTATAAATCTGGAGGAGGAGAAAAAGAAATAACCAAACACTACTGAAATATAATTTTCATTGCACTTCTGAATCATAATCTTTTGAAATGTAAAGTTAGTTTATGCATTATCATTTCAACTTGCCACCATTTTTTTCCCCTGAGTAAGGTTGAGATTTTATTGATAAAACGTAAGGTACAAGAATACAACAGTAAGGGCATACCCTCACAGAAGTGAAAGCCAGAGGCTAAAACAAAGCATGATAGGACTCATCCCATCTCTCTTTGTTTAACTGATCTAAGATTTGCTCAGTTTTGTTAACATCAACAAGATAGTTTCGTATGGTTTCAAACACGCTCCTCTATGTAACTCCTTTGTCCTAGTGAATTCTCCAAGCGTCCCGAGCTGAAAAGAAAGTTTCTAAACTGATTAACAGCTACGGTTGAAGGAGGAACAGCATCGTTTGAGCCGAGTTCTACTGGACCTGGGTGTGGAAAGGATTTCTCCAGCAAGCCGGAGAGAATGTTTTAGGGGAAATGGGGTTGCGCGGCTTTCATGGACGGTCATGATACTCGAACCTTGTTCAGAGATGTTTTTTATTGGATCCCATCTCCCATTATCAGTAAGCATAGAAATGGTGGAGTTCTTGGGCAAATTCAGTGAAAAGTTTGAACAGTTGTCCATTGCCCACACTGAAATTAAAGTTTGATCAGGCCACCATTCACTACATTTCGACTGATTTCGTTAATATCAGCGTCCAGAGAGACATAAGAGAGATAACCCTTAGTCACCTACCCATTGAAATCTAATACCCATAAAAAAATTCCTTAACCGAAACCAACATAGAGAGAAAACTGAAATTCCGAGCTGTGTAACCAGAAATGAAGTTGTAGTACAAGGATTGCAGGGTATATACTACGATTTAGGCAACTATTGAGTTTTAAGCTGTAACATAATAACAGCAACACATCCAGGAAGTGACTACTTAACTGTAATAATGTTTACCTCCAAACAACAGAAGTTGGAAAATGCAAACAGAGTTTGAGGAACAATTTTGCAGGACATATACCATAAGTTTACAGAAATAACTCAATTTGTCATGTTCAGACTTCATTACTTTACAAGATAGTTTCGATTCAAGTGATTTCTGTCACCATGGCATGTTTCTATCGAAAGAACTAATGGGTGTGTAGTATACTAATCAAATAACTCAGAAACTAAAACTATATCTGTCAAAGTTGTGAGCTTACGAGTATCACCGCTTCCTAGCACCTACACAATCTGAAAAAAGCGAATTTGCAGTAGCCAACAGAAAGCTGTCGGGTAACAGCTGTATCAAGAATCTAAGGGCTTTGAGATCTACACACAGCTGTGATCATAAAATTGTGGCATGGTCCCAGAATACCTATTCTGAGAGCAGCCAATGTAGAATACCCCCTTTCAACATCTCTCTTCTGGTTTTCTACGTACTCTATGGCTCTGCTGCACCAGAATACTTCCATGATCGAGCCATGAGAGGCACATGTTTAGGTCCATCAAAAAAGCAAACAACTAAGCTATCAGAACACACAGTTGTTTGGTTGAAGTGAGAGGTATACCTGTGAATATTCTCATGCCTGAAAAATAAAATAGAACGATCCATTTCATACTAAGAAGCGGAACCAACACAATCCCGTACTTCAAAATTGTAAATCTTCATGTTCCTAGATATCTGCAAGTTCCTAGATATCTTCCAACCATAGCATTTACACAACCTAGTATTGTGAGGAATATTATGGGCATTATAGTGCCTAGTTATCTTGCCATTCCTAATTATAATAAGTCCAGGCAAAACCTTTTTCTCCAAGAGTGAACAAACAAAGATTTGACCTCTCAGTCTCACAGCCGGGGAGAGAACAATGCCATTACTCAAGACAGACAGCAGCATCTATTAGAATTTACAGTTACATCATATGACTGAATTCTCTGGCAACTCAAAGCAGTTCAACATCAAGATGGTGACAAGTAAAAGTACTCCATTAAATGCCAAAGTGCATGAGAAACACAAGTTCTAACATCAATCAGATTTTCCCTATCCATATGCTTGAAAGATTATACCTACAAATCGGCTCACAGCAAATGAAATTTTATATTTTGATGATTTGGGCTTTGAATATATGAAAATCACGGTGAAACTCCAACAACATTAAATTGAAATCGATTTGTGAGAATGAACAACTTCAATTTCAAACTGTTTCCACCACTAATTGGAGCCATAAATCATCAGAAATCAATATGGCTGCTACGAAAAACCTATAATACTTGGGTTAGCCAAAGATATCCATTCCTGACATGTCACTAAACATCTAGTCCAACCCATTCCTAATCAAAAGATAGCAAACTCTTACGATTGAGGTTTTTATTCATGGATTTTACATATTGAAATCTCCTTATTCTTGAATCGTAAATGAATATCTTAAGAAACAAAACTCCAATCAAGAAACTTGAAGTTTGAAAAACCTACAAACTGGAAATGATGAACCTGCATCCACCAAATAGTTCCATTATTATTATTAGAGTAATTGCCCACAAAGAAAGAATATTCTGTGTTATCCATATGAGCTGCTAGTTAAACAAAAATTAAAGAGTTAATAACCAATCATATAATGAAGCAAGAAAGAGAGATTATATCAAGAAATGAATTATAAAAGCCATAGCTATCTTTGGAGGAATTTTTGAATTTAAAAAAAAAAAAAAAGCATCAAATGTCACAAATGTTTAGCTAACACAAAAAATGGCACTTCAACCCAACTCAAACCTTTTTATATAGGGACCACAGACCTAGAGTTCAGAAATACATAGTGAACTACCAAGCTAACTTGGAATAAAGTCGACCACAATATGTACCTGAACAAGATAACAAATAACTAAAACATACTGGATCAACTAAATAGTTGCCTAATCTGAAAAGGGCAAGGGCCAACCCTGCAAACATGCAAATCAGAAACCAAATCATTGAAGCCTCCAATAATTAACAGACAATATATCTCTCATTGAAGTACCAAGGATGATAACCCTTAAAAAATGAGAGTAAATTTTAATAGCCATAAGTTCGATAACCTTAAATAAGTGCAATAGAATACGAAATACTTCTTCATAAAATTCCCAATCTCATCCGTGAGTGTTAACAGCCTCCCACACTAAATTCTTTGGAACCGGGTTAGTGAGATCCCGAGCTTGCAAAGCCGCAATCCTCAGCGTTCCAACTGTCATAGCATTGGCCTTCAAGAATGACACAGTGTTGTAAGGCAACTTATGCTTCTTGCAAAGCTCCTTCACAAAAGGTGAGACTTTCCTGAGATTGCATCGAGGCAAACGTGGGAACAAATGATGCTCAATCTGAAACTGCAATCCACCATGAAACCAATCCAACCAAGGCGAGCACGTAATGTTAAGTGTTCCATTAGTTTGGCTCCCATACCAATCATTCCCATTAGGCGGTCCAATATAAACAGACGAAGAGAAATGATTCAAGCAAAACTGAACATGTTGAATTCCAGTGACTGAAAAGCTTGTAATGATAAACATTATTCTCTCACCCCAATTGGGCAAGCACGAAACAAGGAGGGGATACCAAATCCAGAACACAGCAATCCCCAACATTTCCGAAACCCTATTTCGTACCCTTCTCTTGGATAACAACAAGAAGAATGATTGTGCAAACAAATTGATACGAGCAACACACATAACAGGATAAAAAGTCCAATGCTGATAACTCACTAAGAACCTAGTAAAGGAATCAAAATTCAACTTTCTGCCATAAAAGCAAGAAGTAATAGAGTTGAAGAATTTGGAAGATACCACAAAGAATGGCATGTGTTGAAGATCAGGATCGTGATCGAGACTATTGCAGGCAATGTGATGGGCATTGTGATTCCACTTCCACCAAGCAATGCTGATCCCTGAAATGCAATTCCCAGCAAGAACCTGTGTGATTCGATTGATCCTCCGAGTCATCATGATCTGATAATGCCCAGAGTCATGACCAATCCACCCACTCTGAATCCACAAACAACCCATCAAAGCACCAGACAAGAGATGAACCCAGAACCCATCACAGCACAGCACACCATAGACACTGGCCCAAAACAGCAATGCCATAGAAACAAATGTGAAGAAAGCCACATGCCCTTTCTTCTCGAAAAAACCCATTTTCGTGAACTCGAAGACGAGCTTTCTGTAATCTTTGGAGACCTCTGAAACAGTGTAGTCTTGGATGTAATACCCATTGAAGAATTTGTCGAGATATTGCCAAGCAGTGCTTGGATGGTAAGCAACGAACGCATCTGTGACGTCTTGGCCGGCGAGATTCAACAGAGGGGTTTCACCACCTGGGTGGTCTTTGGCCCAATCGGAGACATCGTAGACCTTGCCCTGTATGGTGATCCACAGATCTCCTGGTTTGTTGTGACTCTTGAGGTCTTCAGATGTAATGTACTTCTTGGATTCCGCCATGGATTCAAGAATGGATGTGGATCGAGAGATCAGAGAAGGATGGATGCCTTCTCTTTCTCTCTCTAAACTCTCTTTCTATCTAAACTTTCTCAGGTGGGTTGCGAAGAGATTTGGTTCCTACTAGGGAAGATATTTTGTGTGGGTGTTATTTGAAGAAGCGCCACGGAATGATTTCAAAATACAGTAATAATTTTTTAGACCTAGCAATTTAAATGAGCATCTCCAATGCTTAAAAAAACTAAATGGGAATGCCAAATTTATATTTTGACAGTGCTACGTTATCAAAATATTATATTTTAATAATTTTGTTCTAATAATGTATTTTATGTAAAATATTATTTTTTGACACAACTATTTTTACTATTCATATTTGCATATAATATTAATATTAGGCATATTTCAACTCAAGTTGTGGACATCAGAAAGAAATTAAAATTAAAATTAAAAAGAATCAAAATTCTAAAATATCCGGTTAGAAAAGGAAGAAAAAAAAAAGCAAAAGAAAAAAAAAAAAAAAAAAATCAAAAAATCAAAACCCATATCTTTTTATATTATATTATATATATATATATATATATATATATATATATATATATATAGGCAAATCATTTCAGCCTCCCCAATCGCCTCAAATCATTTCAGCCTCCAAATCAACTAATCTATGGCAGGGGCGCCTCTGCTCTCTTCCTTCTTGACATCAAAGGCTGAGAAACTCTTCACCAAACTCATTGGGAAGAGGTTTGATTTTTGTCTAATTTTTTATGATCTTTTATATATATGTATATGTATGCCAAATCTACACCCCCCCCCCCCCCGGCGGGCCTCTCTCTCTCTCTCTTTCCGAAATAGTAGCTATTTCTTGTGCTATAATTAGTAAAATTTTTGGTTAAAAATTGGCAGCCCTTTTAGCGTTGCATTGGAGAGTCCCTTTTGAAGTCCCCTTGCTATATTTTAGAACTAACAGTCCTTTTAGTATTGGATTGGAGATGCTTTTAGATGCTTTAAAATGAGATCTAGGTAAATTATCAACATTTTTCAAAATGTAATTTGGTTTAAAGAGCGTGACTTATGCGCAACAATCCCTTTGAAAATCTATTTGCTAGATTATGATTTAGGCAGGACTTAATCATATGATTCAAATCTAGTTACGTGTACGTGTTTTGTGGTAAATATTTGAATCACCTACATGATCTTACACATTAAAACGGTATCATTTTGATACATAAGTGTAAAGTTCGTTCAATCAAGTAGCACGAAGATTAATATGAAATCCATTTACACAAGCACGATAAGTTTAATACGGCAAGAATCCTCTTCGAGTTCAATAATTTCAAAGTACTTTATCACCGTCTAAATTTAAAATAGGTATAAAATGAATCGGACAAATCATGTCATTGTTATCATTCCACTAATAAAAATTTAACAAATCAAATTGTTAAAATCAATTTTTATTAAATGGTGGGTCTCCTAAATTTGAAGGTTGAAGCAAGATGACATTGTACTATTGTTTTTTTTTTTCCTTTCTAAATTACATTCTGTTTTAAAATAAAAATTCTTAACTCTTAAATAAGAGAACTTTTGTTTTATTTTCTTATTTTGGGAAAATAATAATTAACAATATATATATATATATATATATATATATATATATATAATAAATATTTTAAGCGGCACGCGGTGAGATTGTGTGTGCCAGGGAGACACCGCAACAATTTCCAGTGGTATAGATGGCGACAAAATGTAAGTTGCCAACACCATGTGCGTTGGCGTAAGCTTCCAAAGGACAGCAAGACCATGTCAAGAATGGCACCAGCAGTTATCAATGAGCTCAAAATTTGTCCTTCACGTACAAATTCTGGCATATACTGTATAAATTTAAGGATCCATAACAAACTGATTTAGATTTCCTTGTATACTTTTTAGTGCAAACGCATTAAATCAAATTATATTTTTTCCACATTTTAATATATATATATATATATAGTATATTAGAAAATTACTAACAATCCATCTCACCAGAAAGTCCTTGTTTCAGCTTTTGAATGGTGGTTTACAGAGTTAGTGACAATTGGGATCATTAGATAAGTAAAAAAAATTTAAATATTGATAAATTATTAAATAAACTTGGATCATATATACTATTGCAATCTAATAAAATAAAAATATATATATATATAAGATCCAGAACCATTTTGTGACTAACAAAAGCTTAGTTACACAATTCGTCTAAAGTGGTCTCGCTCTCAAGTTTTACAGGCGAATTTGCAATTTGGGAGCAAATTCGCACAAAATTCGCGAATTCAATTTTCACAATTTGCGAATTATTCACGATCTCCATACTAATTTACTTTATATAGCTAAATTTGTTACACTCCCTGTGATATGGAATACTATATTACCATATATGCATTATTACTTATACTATTACTTAATATATAAATTATGGTAAAGTACATAGACACCCTTGAGGTTTGGGATAAGGACACACAGATGAAACTTAGCCTGTTTTGGAACAAGGATATTCTCTCAAGTTTGATACAGTAACCAAAGACACCCTAATGGTAATGAATTGACATTTTTCCCCTTTGACTTTTATATTGACCCATGTGAATATTGAAATTACCTTTCTAACCTCTATATTTTTAGATATATATATATATATTTATTTATTTATCTCTCAATAATTTGTATATACACATATATACAATCAACGGAGAAGACGGCGCGTCTTTTACCTCGGTGCCGACGGTGGCCTGCTCCTCGCCGGCTCATGATTCTTATACAAAGCTTCGACGAGTCCATGGCAGAGAGTTCCGCCGACAGCCGTGGCCCACTCCTCACCGACACATGATCTTCTACAGAGCTCCGACTATTCCATTGCAGAGAGATTTGTCGACTCTACATCCTTCAAATCCGACGAGGCCGACTCTAAATCCACGGCCCGCCTTCAATTCCATTGACCCATAGAGCCCCATAGTTGCCGATGAGATAAGTGCGGCGATGGTGAATGGATATTGTCGCCGTTGTCACTGCATATTGCCGACCACCATAACGTCGCTGCCGCAAATCGCTGTTAAGCTGCGCTCTCTCTCCCTCGTGGAGGTGACTGCAACAACTAAGTGGTGATTTCGAACTCCAACAAGTCACAAAGCCAACAGAATCCTCATCTCCGTTCCAAAATCAAGCTCTTATCTTCAACGGTGTGCCCTCTGTTTTATTTTGTTATTATTATATATATATATATATATATATATATATATATATATATATATATTGTAATTTTTGTTCTTAGACTGTTCTTAATTTGTATTTTGTCCAATTATTTATTTTGTTAGGTATTAATTTTCAATGATATTGAACTGTGCAGAACGATTCGCCGCCGGTGAGGACAATCTGCAGATCACTACCGGAAAGGACGCGCCGTCTTCTCCGTTGATTATATATATATGTATATACAAATTATTGAGAGATAAATAAATAAATCTAAAAATATAGAGGTTAGAAAGGTAATTTCAATATCCACATAAGTCAATATAAAAGTCAAAAGGAAAAAATGTCAATTAATTACCATTGGGGTATCTTTGGTTACTGTATCAAACTTGAGGGGATATCTTTGTCCCAAAATAGGTTAAGTTTCATCTATCTGTCCTTACCCCAAACCTTAAGGGGTGTCTAATGTCTATGTACTTTAACCTATAAATTAATTACTTAAATTGCACGTATGCCGAGCCTATATATATATATATATATATATTTAAATTGCACGTATGCCGAGCCTATATATATATATATATATATATTATATGTTTGAAAATATACCATTAAAAAAATTTTCAATTGAAGAATATTACAAATAAATCACGCATGCATCTATTAGTGAGAAAAGTTAACTTATTTATTACATATATCAATAATGGAATAAATAATAATGAATATATTTGCATATGGATTTAAATAAATAAATAAATACAAATTATATATGTTATGACCTTATATAATTTTATTTAAACCTAATATACAGACGAATATTACAAATAAATCATGCATCTATTAATGAGAAAAGTTAACTTATTTATTACATATATCATTAATGGAATAAATAATAATTAATATATTTGCATATGGATTTAAATAAATAAAAAAATACAAATTATATATGTTATAACCTTATATAATTTTATTTAAACCTAATATACAGACGAATATTACAAATAAACCATGCATCTATTAGTTAGAAAAATTAGCTTATTTATTACATATATCATTAATGGAATAAATAATAATGATTATATTTGCATATGGATTTAAATAAATAAAAAAATACAAATTATATATGTTATGACCTTATATAATTTTATTTAAACCTAATATACAGACGCTCCTGCTTTCAAAAAATTTAGAATTTGACACTTTCGTGCTCTTACTTTCGCTTCCGCTCTATGTGACTTAGAACATAAATTAAACGGTGATCTTTTAATTTTGAGAATTAGTTACATTACTATCAAGTCTTTGACTTTCATAGTACAATTGTAGGACTCATTTCATCCAACCACATAGGTGTGTTACAAGGGTCTCACATCGAATTTGGATGAATAAATTAATGAACATATATATATATATATATATATGGGTTAAATGTTAGTTCCGTTTAATAACTTAAATTAGAACAAGAATGTTAAGGGTTAGTAATTTCTTATTAGAAGGAAGGGGAGGTTGCTAGGATTGAACAAATAATCTGCAGAGGTAATTCATGAATCGGATCACAGATTGGATTGTTAAAATCAGATCTAATCCGTGAGATATATATATATATATATATATATATATATATATATATATATATTCAAATAATGTAATAGTTAATTTAATTAGTTAATGATCATTTGACGAATTAATGACTCGATCCATTATCCTACGAATTAGTGACGGTGTTAAAAGCGAATCTTAAATTAGAATTGATAACCAATTCCATCCGTAATCCCTCTTAAAAATTACTCGGGGTAAGTCTCAAATAGGGAGTTACCAAACATGAGAGCAAGCCAACGACTTCTACTCCTTCAAATGGGATTTACATGATTGGTAATGCTATTTGACTAGCATAAATCTTTAATTTTACATAAAAATAATCAAGAAGTAGACAGTGCCTCGGACACACCCCGAGTTCAAAACTAATATGCTCCCTTACCTTAGATTGGACCCACTAATTGAGTATCTCTATGTATGTCTATTTATATAGACACACAATATAAGGATTGCAATAATAGGATATACCCCTGGGATATACTTAAATGAGGCCCAAAATATCTTCTAACTTAGATCTAGATAAGGATTAATAGTTAATGCCCATAAGGTATCTCTTTGGCTTTTTCTTTGTTGGTTTCAGCAGCAGCAGAGGACATTGACAAAAGGGGCCTACGCACACGTTACTTCGGTTCTCATTTGAAATCAGTAATTTCCTCCTCGCCTCTTCCTCCTTTTTTTATTTATTATTATTATTATTTAAAAAAAAAAAAAAAAAAAATCACACACTCATGTACTGACTTAAACACTAGACATTTTATTTAGGGGTGGTCGTTAGCTTTTTCTTTGTTGTCTAAAAAAAAAAATACCACTTACCTACCTTCTTTGATAGTAACATCATAGATTTATTGTTAACTAGCCAAAATAATTATTTATTTAAATAAAAAAAAGTGAAAAAAACACTCTTAATATTTTTAAACAAATAACATTTTATTTTATTTATTTATTTATTTTTGTCATTAGCAAGAAACACACACCGCACTCACTTATACACCCACTTTACTACTTTAGAGATTCAAACTCTCATCATCTATTTTAAGAGGTAGAAGAGATACCATTAGACCACAAGACTCTTAGTGAGCAAATAACATTTAACATCCCTATTTTTTATTTTGAATGTATAAGTCCATTAAATTTAAAAAAATGTGACAAAAATGATTAATTTCTACATTCAGTCAAATAAATGACATACAAGAAGTCATTTGTGGGGGAGTGGCAGCCACTTTGCTATTTTAAGTTATAAAGTTTATAAAACACCCTTTTGCCCTCTCCAAAATGCCCCTTATATCATATTATATATAAATCACATTTATCTCTCGTTTTGCAAACCCACCTCCCTCTTTCTTTGGCCTCTCTCTTTCTGCCTCTACTCCCAAATTCTCTCTTACTCTACGGTCTCTCTTACTCAACTCCACTATAAGTTTCTCCCTCCTTCTCTCTCTCTCTCTCTCTCTCTCTATATATATATATAACACCCTTAAGAGAAACACAAAAACACCCTTCAAATGGACACAAAACACCCTTAATGTTTACATTTTGAACAAAAAAACACCCTTATCCTTTATATTTAGGATTAGATATTTTATTCATTTTACATTTATTTAGTTTTTCAACTTATTCTTTTATTCATTTACATAAAGGTACTTTAGTCTTTTAATTGCTACATGGACAATAGCTCATGTTCACATCAAAAATAAAGATTAAGGACTTTTAAAAACCTATAAGGGGGTTATATACTCTATATGCATAGGTATTTATTATTCGCGACCCTTTAAATAATATCAAAGATTAACATGCATCAATGTTTGAAGATATATTTTTGGTTAATTCATAAATTTAAACTACTAGTACATTTTTTTTTTTTCGGAATTTTCATTTTATTTTTACTAAGTTAAAAATAAAGTTGACAGAACTTTTGTTGAAATTAAGACACCATTTATTTGGATGTAAAATATTTTTTAAAAATTATTTTTTATTTTTGGTGTTTGGTTGTCGTAAAATATTTACGAAAACAAATATATTACAATCTAACAAAAAAAAACTTACCCATCAATTTTAGACAAGTTATTTTACACGCTCCGCTCGATTGATTCAACTTCATTCTCGACCTACATCTTTATCAAATGTTGAAAAATTAAAAATAAAAAAATATTTTACCTAAAAAAATAAAAATATTTTAGATGAAAACAAAAGTAGTTTGAATTTAAAGGGAATACATGTTCGAATTTTAATGATGTCCTAGACAAGTTGGGCCCACGTGACGCGTGACATACTCAAAATAGAGTTGTAATGATGTCCTAGGGCCCATTGCTCATTCAATATTTTCTCTTGTTTTGTTTTCGATAAATGAATATTTTTTCTCTTATTAGTCGTAATTTAAGTGACCTCCTAGGCAAGTTTGGGCCTAAGTGGCCCATGCCAGTCAATAAGGCTAGAAACTCAGCATTGGGCCATGTACCAATGTACTACTACTTCTTAACTGGACTCAAACGATCTGAAAATATCAAATAATGGCCCACAAATCACAATTCCATACTTCTTACGACGAATCGAATCCTATTTCAGATTCTCACGCGTACAGAGAAAACCAGAACAGGGGAATTCAATTACCTCCTGCGAATGCTTTTTATTTCCTTCGCTGCTTCAATTCTTTCTACCCAGGACTATAAAACCTAGAGAGAGAAAGTAGAGGAGAGAGAGAGCTTCCACATGGCGGAAAAACCCCAACCAGTTCAAGTCCTGTACTGCCCTGTGTGTTCTCTACCCGCCGAGTACTGTGAATTCGGACCCGATTTCGAAAAATGCAAGCCCTGGTTGATCAACAACGCCCCCGAACTCTACCCCGATCTCCTCAAAGGTATAAACCCTATTCCATTTATATATTTACACACACATATTTAATGGATGTGTTTATGTACATTTTTTTGATTGTATTGTTATTAAACACATACACAAATATATATATATATATATATAATGCATTTGTTAATGTACTTTTTTATTTTATTTAATGGATGCCACATTTTTTTTATTGTATTTAATGGATGTGAGTTTGTGTACTTTTTTATTGTATTGTTATTAAACACACACATACACACAAATGTATATATAAATGGATTTGTTTATGTACATTTTTTTTATTGTATTGTTGTTGTTAATGTTTTGGGCTCAGGGGCAATTGGCAAAGAAGCTGACAAGGTTTCAGAACGGCTAAAATCAGTTGGAATCTCTTCTGTTGGTCGTGATAGAGCAGCTCCTTCTGGTAAACTTTAAATGGTCTGTTTGTTTACTGAGTAAATATTGAAATAATCATAGAAATAAAAAATTTTGTTCTTTTGTGTAAAATACGATAATATCAAATTTGACTGATCCTAATACAATTTTAGTGACATTGTGGAGTAGATTTTGTTTTCTTTTTACCAGCAATGAAATGGCAGGTATATGAAAATTGTTGTGAATATAGAGTATTAAGGATGAAGTCAGTTACTTTTTTAGCTTTGTAAGTCGTTATGATTATAGGTCACCTTATGGTAGATTCAATCCGGAAATCTATTAGATGAATGAAAGTAATCGAAATTGATTTATGGTAAATTAAGAGAATAATGCATGGATACATTGCACTACCCTAAATTGCCTGTCATGCTTTAGAATCTACGAAGCAGGTTGTTGTCGAAGTCTCTCTCCTTGTGGTTTAGGGAAGTGACTTTTGGACTGTATATATATTTTTTTTTTGTTTTTCAGGGGAATCTTCATCTAAGCAAGAAGAAGTGAAACGTCTCCCTGGTGGAAAGGTAAAGAAGAAGGTAAGATATATGTCACTGTCTTTTTTAGGTTTATAAAGTTACGCAAAGAACCTCTTTTGCATGTATGAAATTTTATAGCATCTAGAGATTTGTTGTGTGCAGTATCAGGCTTAATTTATTCATGAAATTATTTTTGGAAATCATATACATTATGGCTAAGGTCCTCATGTTTTCCTCCTCTTCATTTTTATTTATTGTTTTAATTTTCTTTATAAGATCTTGCATGTTCAAATTTGACAGCTCTCTTTCATCAAGTGGGAAAAAGAAACACATGAAGTTCATAACAATGTACTTCTCACCTGAACAAGGGAATGGAGCTGATGGGCATTTGGAAATTTGAAACTTAAATACTTAAGTGTAACTATTCATTTCTCTTATTTAAGAAAAATGTTTGGATATGCTTCTTGATAGAACTAATAAACTCCACCATAGTCAATTACTTTGATGAGTCTAAAATAGTTCACTAAAATTCACTATCTTTGTAGTGATCCATCAGTTGCTTGGCCTTTTGCTGATGTTTATTTGACTTGTGAGAAGTTTTTTATGTTTTGAAACTATGTCTTAGTAGAAGACATGTGCAACAAACTCTTCTATATTTAAAAGTGCAAATTAATTGCCTTTTTTATAATTTAAAAAAATTTGGTATGTCAGTTGGGTATAGAGTAAGGAAAATTACAATATGAACATATATTGACGAGTATAGTTTGTGGAATTTTCCAAACATATAGTGTTATATAGCTCATAAAACTTTTGTACAAAGTTACAAACTTGTAGACTGCCATAAATCCTCTTATATTTCTTTTACACCATGCAGTAATGATATTTTGTAGAAGGTTCCATTATTGAACTTGGGGTGGCTATCTTTAAATGATAGATTTTTCTTCTTTTAAATATGGTTCACTGACCGTGATTGTGTAGAACAATTTTAAGGAAGTTTTCAAGGCTGATTATGGCTGTTGTTGTTGTGTTGGGAGGGTGATGGGGATATGAGGATTTAGGGTATGTAAATTGTGTAAGGAGGAGTTAGCAGTTCATGTCTCCAAGTCCAAGGATCAATAACCTATAAGAAAACTTCGAGGCTGATCAGAAGCTGTGAACAGTAACCATGAACAGTAACTAGGGTGGGTAGTTCTTTTAAGTGTTAGGGTTGGTAAATTAATGGAGTAAGGGGTTTGGGTTTGGGTTTGGGTTTGGGTTTGGGTTTGTGAATGGGGTACAACATATTGTGCTGTGGGGGCTTTAAAGAGTTAAAGAAGTGTAGAAAATGAAGGATAAGAATTAGAAAAGTAGAAAATTTAGGTGAGATTTACCTTATATGGCCTTAAATGATATATTTGCTTAAAAATGTTGTTTAGAATTTGTTGAATCTAAGAGATATCAGTTAATGAAATTGATCAAACATGACCTTCACTCAATAACGTGATAGCCTTTCTCCATGATTTTCCTTTGTTTTCTCAGTTATTGACATAAAGGTAGCCTTTTTGCACGTCAATTGGGGTCATTTGTGAGGCCTGTTTCTTCTCAAGACTTCTTGGCCATTTTGCCACTGCTTCGCTAACAAAATAGCTTTTTTTTCACCTTGATTTCTGATTGAATTACCTTCCATCCCCCGGATTGGCATTATCATCCATTTGAGTTCGGCACACCAAAAAGCTGTGGCACCGTCGATTTCCATGCATGTTTCTTTTCAAGTCAGAAGGGGTCTGGTTTTAAAGAAAACAGTGCCTGTATAGGCTGTATTTGAGAAATTTCTATACCTGATAAATCTACCTTTAATGGAGCATATTTTGATATCATGTGGCAGCTTTTTTTATTCTTCAGTACTCTTGTATCAAACTTGATTTACAGTAATGATAGGAGTGCTGAGAGCTATCTACTTCAGGGGTGGTATAATTTACATTTTTTAGTTCAAAATTGCTTCTTGGTGGCATGTGATCTATGGGATTTTCATCTTATGACTCTAGTTAAAGATAGCTAGATATAAATATTGGAGAATGATATCAGATATAAGAATAGGAAAATAATGTTTGCCCCTTCATATTGTTTGTAGGACAAGCAAGAAGTTGTTATTGAAAAGCTGGTACGTAACAAGCGCAAATGTATCACCACTGTGAAAGGACTAGACCTCTTTGGTGAGCTGAATGCTATTATGACTATGTTGCACTTATAAATTCAGAACGTAGGATAACGTGCAAGTTGTTTAATTACTGCATATCTAAACTTCAGGAATATTGTTTCAGGGATCAAACTTAGTGATGCTTCTAAAAAGCTTGGGAAGAAGTTTGCTTCTGGAGCATCTATTGTTAAGGTGTAGAGGAGTTATATGTTTTATTAAAGAAGACATGGCCTACATATTTTTGTTTCGTAATAATTTAGAAATGGCTTGTTTGCAGGGGCCAACTGAGAAGGAGCAAATCGACGTTCAAGGAGACATTGCCTATGATATCGTGGAGTTCATTACAGAAACCTGGCCCGATGTAATTTACTTAAACCATCTTTTCTTCAATAACGTGTAACAAAAAAATATGTGTTTTAAGAGCAGCTTTAACGAAGAATGGCTTATAAGTCGTTTCATGGCAGTTCCGTCTATCACTTTATTGTGATAGACCAGATTGGCCCGTTCTGCCAAGTACCTCCATATTCTGCTGAGTAGGATTCGACAATGGGTTTGAGTCAGTGATTGGACAACTTCTTTTTCTTTATCTTGAGCCGCGCAGAAATTCCGGAACTATGATACTAGTTAACCAGAGAGACCTGAATTCCCACTGGTAGCATAGAATTACTTAGCTTAGGTACCATATGAACAATATATGTGATGGTTTTTTCTGCACATTTTCTTTAAGAAAAAATTTATGATGGCATATCACAGGTCTCCTTGTGGACAAGTCATACTTTTTTTTTCCCTCTCTCTCATGGAAACAAAGTACCACCAAGGGTTGTAGCCTAGTGGTACTTCCTCACCTTCTAAAGTAAAAGTTCAAGGGTTCAAGTTCCCAGAGGGGTAAAGTTGGGGTGAGTGAGTTTCTTGCCAAGGTAATAACAATAATACCCCTAGCTTTTACATGCTCCTTTCCTTGATCAACCGTGCTCAAGTTTTATTACTGTAATGAGGAAAACAAAATGCTATAGTTATATTATTTGTGGATCCTTTCCTTGTGTTGTCCATAGCATCAAATTATTAAAAGTAGTAGAAGTTTTAAAAGTGGAATGCCGGATTAAAAAAAGTTGCTTAACATTTTAATGATTTGTTGTGGGGTGAATTTTCAATTGCTGCTTTTACCAATCTTCAATTAGTTTGCAAAGGACTAATAAGTAATTGTAGTATTACATCAATTAATCACTTTTTTTTTAGATCAAAATCAAATGCAGTGTCACAGTATTATGTAAGCTAGCTAGAAATCTCTCTCTGCTAAACGTTTCCTCGATTTTCAATTGCAGGTCCCAGAAACTGCTATATACTTTATCGAGGGTGGAAAAAAGGTTCCCGCTGTTTAACGGCTTGCAATATTTTGGTGATGATTTTGAATATATGTCACTCAGTATCAGCACCCAGATGAAGCTATTGCCATGTTGAAAATCATAGAGAGCCTCCTGCTAGCTCCGATGATTCTCGTACCCTAATTACAACTGTTAAAATTTAAAGAAGCCATTATAGTTATTAGGTTTTCAAAGAGTAATCTATAATCAAGTGAGATATCTCTTGCTCTACTGGGCTTATGTTTGGATACAGTATCCTTTTGCAGAGAAAGCTTTATACAGGTTTTTGCTTTCGAACTATTTATTTTAATGCTTTTTGGATGAATTTGTGATTTCACATGAAGACACAGCTTAATCAAGCACCTCAGCTTGCAGATTTTATTTTTCATACAGAAACTGTGATTGATGTACTCTTTTGTGAATCAATTGCTGCTTTGGTTTAGGCCTTTTCAGTGTAATTTTGTGGTTGCCAATTTTCGAAGTGGAAGCGATTGGTGAAAATTGGCAGAAAATTATTCTGGTTTGGTGTAGCATTGATTCCATATATTTTGTTAGTGTTGTGTTTACATTTACAGGGAGGTGTTTGGTGCTGTGGAAAACTCAAACTAAGGAGATGACAGTTTCTCTATTTATTTAGCTATCGTATGGGTTTTAATATTACCAGTTTCCTGGTTGAATTGGACATGTTTTCTATGACAATGAGCAGAAGATTTACCAAATGGGCAATAGCTCAGCGGGTACAAACTCACTTTTCCAAAGGGTTGCTCGGGGTTCGAGGCTACCAATGTATAATTGAAATGTTGTGGAGTAGAAATGTTGAAATGCTTAAAATTAAAAGTTTTAACTTTAAGTTGACCTTGGTTTAGAAAAAATGGACTAATAAGAAAGAAAGATTGATCTTAGATTAGTTTTGCGATATAAAAATTCAAAAAACTTAATATAAATAATATTTAAACAAAAAAAGGTGTAAACATATTCATGTGGAATTCATTTTGCAATTGAGCTTGACTTGAACATTGCTCAACGAAGTCGAAACTACTTTGAAGATTTTGAGTTCAAACTCAAACTAAGTTTTGACACCAAGATCGAAAAAATTATTGAATTTCTAAGCATCCAATCATATTTACAGGCCTTTAACAAGCTAAAGCTTGTTCATAAACACTACTTTATTGTTCCAAAAAAAAGAAAAAAAAACTAATTTATTAATAATTCACGAACATAATAAGTGGTAAACTACAAACTCGGACTCGATTCATTTATATCAAATATTGTCAGAGCAAAACAAAAAGAGCACTATTAATCAACAACTTTCAATACACTCAAAGGTAATAATAAGCTTTATTCATCAAGTAATGAAAATTTCTATTACCAGTTTTGAACACTCATCAAGTTGATTTTAAAGAGTAACCAATCCAAACGAATTAATTCGCTACTATCAAGTAAAATTCAAAGAATATCATTTTTTTCTGCTCATCCTATCAAGTCATTAAAATATTTTTTGCATTTAAAGCTCAATAAAATACTATATCCATTTTTTTTTAAATGTAAGAGCAACTCCAATGCTCTCTCATTTGGGCCTCTCAAACTTAAAATATGAGAGTTAGGTAAAAAAAGTCTTCTTTAATGGGCTCTTATTTAAACTCTCAAAATTTGAGATTCTCAAATTTCTTCTCATATATGGCAGCTGCCAAATTTTTTTGGCAAATCTCTCATTTCCTAAAACGGTGTCGTTTTTCACCAGTCATCACCCACTTACATCTCTATATGTATATTATATTATATATATAATATACATATATATTATATATAATATATATAAATTTCCGAAAAAAAAAATTATATAAAAAAATTAATTCACAAATAGTGGTAAAAAAATTATAGAAAATTAATTTATTTTTGTCCTTTTTTTACCAGATATTTTAGATTTGTATCTTTTTTTTAATTAAGTTTAATTTTAATTTCCTTCTAATGTGTACAACTTGACTTGGAATGTGCCTAATATTAATATTACTGATGCAAATATGAATGATGAGAATGGTAGTTGAAAAAGAATAGTAATTGTGTTAAAAAATAGCATTTTGCGTGAGATGTATCATTGGAGTAGAATTGTTAAAATGTAATATTTTAGTATTATAGCACCTATCAAAATATAAATTTGACATGCGAAAATAGGTTTTAGCATTAGTGATGGTATAAGAGAATTAGTTCCGATAATCATGACTCTGAGAAGTCTTAGTTATAATAAATAAATAAATAAAAGATTATAAGAAGTCAGAGAGCTGTCTCCATATTTTCAATAAGAGTGAGGATAAAATTGTAATTCCATCTCCAAAAATCTAGAGATATAAAGGAATATCCTAACTTGTCACTCTTGATACCTCCAAAGAAAAAGAAAACAGAAGCTCATAGCTTCCCCCAAACCCTCCCAGCACTCTCTCTTTTCTGTATACAATAATAATATCACACATACATACTCTCATCCATCTGGATTGCCTCTCTGATATCATCGCCTTCACAAGGTAATCCTTTGTAGTCAATTGTGCCACCATTTTCGTTGACTAATTTTATGTCTGTTTTATCTTTATTTTCTCTTCACAGTCGGAGCTTATACTTGTATTATTTTCTTTGTAAAAGAAAGAAAAATTCTTGTTATCTTTAGAGATGAAATGGGTATTTGGAAAATCAATGATTCATAAATCTTATGATGTTGTTCTGTGATGCATTTCATTCGACTGTAAAAATGTCCCTGAAAGAAATTTCTGTGAAAACCCAACTTTCTCCTGAGCTAATTGTTAGTATTTAAGTTTTGGGTGTGTGTTTTTTAAAAATTGTCCAGTTAGACTGGAAACTTTTTGTTTGCTTGCTTGCTTCAATTTTAGTGTGTGGAAAGTTAGATTTTTTGTAGTGGTTTGTTCAAACCCGAATGTTAAGAATATATGGGTCACTGATATAATTGTAAAAAAGTATATCAGATAGTGAATTAGGCCCATTTTCGCAATTGGCATGCGGAATTTGTTTCAGTTGTTGAAATCGACACTCAGACTGCTCTCGAGGCAAGTCAACTGGAAAGGATGTGGTGAGGGTGCATTGGTATGAGATTGGAGATTTCCTCTGATCCACACTTGTGGAGAACTATAGTTACATGCCTAAATTGATTTTGTAAAGACACATTAGGTCGCACAAATAAAATTGCAGAGCCAATTCCAGTGAGATTTTAGCTTGTGTGTGGTGCAAAGTTCCAATTTCATTCTCTTCTAACATATCTGCCTGAAAAATACAACTTTTTGGAACTCTGATTGAGGTGTGCAACTGAGCACTACTGTGTTAGTAGTGAACCTATTGGACCATGGATGCTGTCTCTGACGTATTGGACTGGTGTGTGGATATAAACCTTGCTTGAGAGTTGAGATATGTAATTGGTCTGATCAGTAGGAAAGATCGTACTAAGCATATCGAGGGCACTACTGTAGCCTTACTTTTTGAGTAGCATGATCCTTGTGTAATTATCTTTTTTTGGGCATATCATTCCACTAGTTTATGTCTACTACAAATAACTCAATGAGCATGGAATAGAAAAGAATAACCAAAAAAACACACCAGATCATTTTTGAAAACAAGTAATATAAAATAGCAAAATAGAAAGGTGACGAAGAAAATATGACTTGTTCTTGTCACACATGGCAAGCGAAAAAACTGACACACCATCACATCGGTTTTTTTTTTTCCCCCGAAAGTTCAAGCAAATGCATGCACACTGACAAATATTGTGCCTAGCAAGGCTCGAACACTCAACCTCCCCTTTGGGGAGGAGAGCTCATACCATTTGGGTAATGCCTATTGGTCATCACATCGGATCTTGTTTTGCAAAAAATTCATTGAGTCTATGGCCGCGTCTCTCCTTTTTATTGTATGATTTCCCTTTTCTTTTAGTACCCTTATTTAGCCTGGCCAATTTTTAAGGATTTTGTTTTGCAATCTAATTTGTAGAAAGTATAGTTGCAAGGACCTTGAAACTCAAATCTGACCATTTGGATTTTCTTTTTGCAGATATATATACTAAATTTCATAAGAAAAACCAAACAAAAATATGGCACATTTGCTTTCAACCTCTTGTGCTTTAAATAACTCCTCCAGCAGCAAGCTTTCATCCAAACAACCATACCAAGGCTCAGCAGTATTTCCATCATCTGTTACTTTAAGAACTTCTAAGTCCCAAACTAAAAAGCTTGTCTTGCAAGGAAAGAGGTCCCAGAGACTTTGTACTGTCCATGCAACAACACTTTCTGCAAGTCAAGAAGCCAAGACCAAATCGACCTCTGGTTCCCATCAAACCTCTGATGAACCATCAAAGCCAAAGCGGGTCATGGTCATTGGTGGGGATGGTTACTGTGGTTGGGCTACTGCCCTCCACCTATCCAACAAAAATTATGAAGTTGCCATTGTTGACAGCCTTGTCCGTCGTCTTTTTGACCATCAGCTAGGTCTGGACTCTCTGACTCCCATCTCCTCTATCCATAATCGCATCCGTCGTTGGAAATCTGTCACAGGAAAATCCATTCAACTCCACATTGGTGACATCTGTGATTTCGAGTTTTTGTCAGAAACTTTCAAGTCATTTGAACCTGATGCGGTCATCCACTTTGGAGAACAGCGATCTGCTCCCTACTCAATGATCGATAGGTCAAGAGCCGTGTTCACACAGAATAACAACGTGATTGGAACGCTCAATGTTCTGTTTGCCATTAAGGAGTTCAGAGAGGAGTGTCATCTGGTGAAACTTGGTACCATGGGAGAATATGGAACCCCCAACATAGATATCGAGGAGGGTTACATTACAATTACTCACAATGGTAGAACAGATACTTTGCCTTATCCCAAGCAAGCAAGCTCTTTCTACCATCTGAGTAAGGTACATGATTCAAATAATATAGCGTTTACTTGCAAGGCTTGGGGGATCAGAGCCACCGATCTGAATCAAGGTGTTGTCTATGGGCTGAGGACGGATGAGACGGAGATGCATGAAGAGCTCTTCAATAGATTTGATTATGATGGAGTATTTGGAACTGCATTGAATAGGTTTTGTGTTCAAGCCGCTGTGGGTCATCCACTTACTGTTTACGGCAAAGGGGGTCAGGTAAAATTCCTGTACTCAAGTATACCATAATATTTCTATGCCAGATCACACCATTCATTATCTGCTTTTATTGTCCGGTTTGAAACTAGGATGTCCTTGACAATATTTGTAAGTCAGAATGGTTTTGTCTCAAGAACAAGTTCCAGCCATCTATTTTATATACTTGGAATGAATAGTCTTTGAGCCCCTAAATAGAGAAGCTAGCATGTTTTTTTGACCTTAGGCTCCTCTTGCAAGTTGTCTAGTGTCTCTTGAAGATTCTTCTAGGAACAGGTAGTGCCTCTGCTTGATTAAGGAAGTATATAATTTGATGTTTAATTAAAATTAAGAATGAGATGTCTTTTCCTTTATGGTTTAGTAAGGTTGTAATAAGATGTCATTATTCCTTTATACCTGCCATGAGGAACTGGGGAAGAATCTATGTTCCTTACTTTTATTATCCTGCAGAATGTATTGCAAGAGTCAGAACCCCTGCAATTTAATTGGTGGCAATTTTTTTCTGGCCTCCCCAAACTTGGGTGGCCAGCACATTGTCTGAGACTCGCCCAATATTTAACACAGTGCTTCTCTGAATTGGATTTCCATTCCTATGGAAACCGAATATCCAGGTTCAGGGTGTCTGAAATCTAGATACTTCCCTTTATCCCATTCAGCCCCTAACTACCCAATTAAGTGATACAATTTCTACATTTATCTGTTCCTTATGCATAATGTCACATCACATTTTCATTTGATTTTTTTTTTTTTTTAACTCATTTTTTCTTCTCCTCCCTCCTAATGTGTGCCATTTATACGACACAGACCAGAGGATACCTAGACATACGAGACACGGTTCAGTGCGTTGAGCTAGCCATTGCAAACCCAGCACAGCGTGGAGAGTTTCGGGTCTTCAATCAATTCACGGAGCAGTTTTCTGTCAATGAACTAGCAGCACTTGTCACAAAAGCCGGAGAGAAGCTTGGGCTTGATGTGCAAACCATATCCGTGCCAAACCCAAGAGTAGAGGCAGAGGAACATTACTACAATGCCAAGCACACTAAACTCATTGAACTGGGACTCAAACCACACCTTCTTTCGGACTCTCTTCTTGACTCGGTGCTCAACTTTGCCATCAAGTTTAAGGACCGTGTTGATACAAAACAGATAATGCCCAGTGTTTCTTGGAGAAAAATTGGCGCGAAGCCAAAGACTGTTGCAGCTTAGGCGAATAGAAAATATCAAAGTGAGGGCTGTTGTCTTTTTGGTTTTATATTTCTGATATGCAGCGTTGTATCTATGGAAACTTAATAATCGTTGAGGACCAAGTTGTGTCTTGATAAGGTGCTCCATTATAGAAGTAGAAATTCTATCTTGGGGGTCCTCAATTTTAGATGTAGTAGTTGAAATGTGTACTCCTTACAACCCTTGCTTTGGCAATGTAATATATAGCCCGTTAAGATGAATTTGATGGACAGTGAACTCTCTCAATCTTTCATCTTCCAAATCATTTTATTGACTCCATTGTGCTTTGTTGGATTCAATTCGGTCGTTACTCCAAGGGATAAATGAAGATGAGCTAGGTGTTATATTGGACTTTGGAGTTGGTTGATCATGTCTCGTGTTATTAATTGTTTTTTGGTGTATGTATTCGTCTACTTTGTATATATCATACTATGTATGTGAATTCTGATCATACAAACTCTATTTTCAGCATTTTGTTTAAAAATTTATATGCACATATAACAATTCATTCGATCCATAACATGCTAACCACATGAATTATGAAAACAAATAGATGAGAATGTTTCTGCTTTAGTTAAAAAGGGGTAGAATGGTTAGCATGAATTATGAAAACAAATAGATGAGAATGTTTCTGCTTTAGTTAAAAAGGGGGTAGAATGTAAAATTTTGTAACAGTTTTAAGAATGAAAAATTGTTTTTGTTACACCGTCGAGATGTTGGAGGAAATTAATCACAATAAGTTAGGTTGGCATTGGCCCCGTACCACATTACTGTTCGATCAAAATTGAGCTGAACTTCAAAAAAATTAGAAAAGTAAACCCTAGTCATTTTAAAAATTTGTACAAGCCTACTCTTTCAACACCGCAATGCGTAAATTGTTATTCCGTTATTGTTTCAATCTTGGACATTCAGATCAAGTCAAAGTTACATCCATGTAATGATTTACACATCATTCAATACTGATAAGCTTAGAACTTGCAGAAAAAAATTAAGTAAAGAAGATGAAATGAAATTCAATCGAGATGATTTAAACAAAACTACAGCTGCTATGGTCATATCAAATATATCCAAATGTAAAGCAGTTTCAGAGAATCCACATAACAGTGGCCAGCACAAAAAACCTTGAGAGCTTAAGAAATTTCACAAAGTGGATTCCTCCAAAATTCTACAAACACTGGTAAATGAAATAATTCTAAACAATAAGGTTAGATGTAATTGAACAAACGACTCAAAGGGAAACAAATCTTTGTACATCAGAGCACCAAAAAAGACCAATGAAAATATCTACTGATACTATCTAGGGTTTACGTTGTAGCCTCAAGTCCTAAGAGTGCCTGATTAGTACATTTCCTTGTCACCAATATATATATATATATATATATAGACACTAAATTACAGGTCTGGATTCCATTGTAACATTCAAGCCAAGCCAAGGGTTAACCCCCCAAAACACCTAATTGAGGGTACAAATTATAAGTTATAATTCATCCAAGACAAACCGCTTGCATAGAAAATTAATTTCCTTAAAAGTCTGCAAGACTTTAGCACCTGCAAAGCAAATTGTAAACAAAACTAGGACCTCTTGAATTACAAACTTTACAATTCATCTCATAGTGAGCATACAGACTCAGCTCAATAAAAAGAAGAACACGACAAAAGGAAAAAGGAAGGAAAAATTCATAATGAAATTTGTGTCAACCGTATAGCCAAAGAAAACTAAAAGGTACATAAATAATGCCCAATGACTGAAATACAACTGCAACACTTGACATAGTGGCATTACTGCCATTAGCTTCTAAAGCTTTCATTCACTTCCAAATGATGGTAAACAATTAGAACCTCATCTGCCGCAATGGAAGTACAGCAACTCTTAAAGCCAACAGGCTTGCATGTAAATAACTATATGCACAATGGATTCGATAAATAAAAAGACAATTGCCATGGATCAAATCCGCATCTTTCATGCTAAGATCCCACCGGAGCAACACCTTTTGTCTTGGCTGCAGCAGTTGCAGCTGCTGCCGCAGCTGCTGCAACGGCAGCGGCAGATGCTGCTGCATTGGGTGTTGAAGGAGGCACCTGACTGGACTGTGAAGTGCTCTGTGGCGCAACTATCTGTTGCTGCTGTTGCTGTTGTTGCTGAGAATTGACCTGAGCAAGCAGGGCATTGATTTGACTTCCGGTAAGTGTCTCATTCTCAAGCAAAGCATTAGCGAGTGCATGAAGCTCCTTGCTATGGGTGATGAGAATGGTTTTTGCATTGTTGTAAGCCCTTTCCAAGAATTCCTTCACTTCCTCCTCAATGAGCAGCCTAGTCTCAGTGCTCATGCTCTTTCCATTGTCATCATAATTGTGAGTAACCAGCCCAACTTGTTTGCTCATACCATACTTAGTAACCATAGCTCTGGCAATTTTAGTTGCGTTCTGGATATCAGAAGATGCACCTGAAGTAACTTCATTTTCTCCAAAGATGAGCTCTTCTGCAACTCGGCCCCCCATGCAAACATCAAGTCTAGCAAGCATCTGTTTACGAGATACGCTCGTCTCATCCTTGTCAGGCAATTGGGCAACCATGCCAAGAGACATCCCTCGTGGAACAATTGTTGCCTTGTGCACTGGATAAGCCCCATCTGTATGGATAGCCACAATGGCATGGCCACCTTCATGAAAAGCTGTCAGCCTTCTTGACTCTTCAGATATAACAGCTGATTTGCGCTCACTTCCCATCATGATCTTGTCCTTTGCATACTCTAGATCAGCCATGCTCACTGCCTTGGCACCGTCCATTGCAGCCTTGAGAGCAGCAATGTTGACTAAGTTTGCAAGATCAGCACCTGAGAACCCAGGAGTTCCTCGGGCAATGATCATCAGATCAACATCGTTTTCCTTCAGAACCTGTCAAACGGTATTTGTATTGCAATTTGGAAGTTACGCTTCAAAAAACTTAGAGAAAACAAAAACAATCAAACAAAAGGTAATTGCATAACGGTATATGAGGTATTTTATTAAATAAATGCAAACAAGGGTCTACAACGAATTTCATGGTTGTAAGATAAAGAGGATTGGGCCGCCTTTCAACTGGTGTTGCCATATTGGCCAGTATAACTTGCATTACTTCGAAATTTGACAAAACAAATTCAACTACTGGAACTATTACATGCATATACACATACATTCATACACATTAAGAGAAAAATTCTACAAATACTTGAACCTATTCCTCTTGCAGTGAAAGAAATAGAAAATAGAAATATAGAACGAATTAAAATACCAGTAAGTATATTCACTTCATATCATAGGAGGGCCCAGCAATGTGCCAAGATCTAGTCAGGGTGACCCAGGCCCAACACCATAAGCATGCACGCTGGAACATATTGCACATGCCATAAAAACCCAGTTACTTCTTCTATTTTGGACATGAAGGCAACCCCTTCAGAGACTGGGTTTGTCTTCTTTTTAAGGGCAATTTAATACCGCAGTTGATGGTAAAAAAGTTTTCCAATGGGTAGCGTTGACTTTAAACAATAATAAATGTAAAAAAAATTCAACTAAAATAATATCATATTAAAAATTATAGATTGATAATATTTTTAGTAAAATACATTCACAATTGTCCTTAACTAGTTTCATGTTTAAAAAATATTGCAACACTACTAAATATACCACCAAGGATAGTAACTCAATGGTATCTCCCCTACCTCTCAAAGTGAAAGGTTCTAAGTTCAAGTTCCCATAAGGGTAAAATGTGTACATATGTTATTTTTAGAAGGAGAAAAACCAACATTGCCAAATTTTTATTTCTCAATCTCCGTGTGACAGTCATAACTAGTATTATCAATGGCAAGGTCACACGCAAATATATTAATACATATATTCTATCTTTTTTCATCTCAACCATAAATTAATTAGGACTTTTCTCACTATCTTAGGACCTACACTTAATGAAGAGATCGATTGCCAACGAAAAGAATAGAAAGAAAATTATTTATTTAGTTATTCAAAGAGAGGGCCGCGGATGATGAAAGGAAAGATAGTTGAGATGGAGACCAGAGATAATAGAGTTCTTGGCTACTGTTTATGTGTATGGGCACGAGTGTGAGAAGAAAAAAAGCAATGGGGTAAAAGATTAAAGTTATGGGGGCATTTATGAAATTAATAAATAAAAAAAATTATAGATAAAAATATGATTTTTTAGACATCCAACGGGGGCAAGTGCCCCCACTAGGCCTCACATAGGTCCATCCCTTCACATACTGGTAGCAATTACATCATCAAGCCAGCACTAAGAAAGAGGATATAAGGTCTACCATGAACATAGGCCAGGCCAAAGCCCTTTCAAGTATCATGACTGGAATTCTGCCAAGGGACATTAACACATTGCAAAACCTAGCCTAGTCTTCTACACGAATCATAAATTTCTTCTCAAAAAGTAACAATACCTTCGACATGTGGGATTCCATAATCTGCCTCCGCCCTTCCACGTCTGGATTTGGAACAACAATGTGACGGTCAAACCGTCCAGGTCTCACCAGTGCCTTATCCAACGATTCTGGGAAATTAGTAGCGGCAATAACAATAATTCCTTCATTTTGTTTGAATCCATCCAATTCAACAAGCAACTGATTCAATGTCATTTTCATGTACTGCTGGTCCTTCGGATTACGGCTTCCTCCTATGGCATCTATCTCGTCAATGAATATGATACATGGTGACCGCTTTTTTCCAGCAGAAAAGAGATCTCTCACCCTCCGAGCTCCAACACCAACAAACATTTCTTCAAACTCACTGCCACTACATGAAAAGAAAGGCACCCCAGCTTCTCCTGCTATAGCCCTTGCTAACATAGTCTTGCCAGTGCCAGGTGGACCAACAAGTAAAACACCTTTTGGGAGCTTGCCACCAAGGCGAGTGAAGCGCTATAACAATTGAAAACAAGGGAATTTAAACATCTTTATACAATTAAGAAACAGATTATCTATGTTAACTGAAGATTAGATCAACTGCTTTCAGTTCAATGCAATGTTTGGCATCCCAAGAAAGAATTTCCACAACAAAATTACTTGGTAGATTTGGGAGAAAAATGGTAACATATAAATGAATATGTTGTGCATATTGTTAGATTCGCTATGCATGGATAAGCATGCCCAGGAAGTAGCTTTAAAATTTTAAAAAATAAAAAAAGGCAAAGTAGTGGTTACATGATTAAAAAGTGATTATATTTTCATTTACCCCCACCCCAACACACACACACACACACACACAAAAAAAAAATAAAAAAATAAAAAAAAATAAGGGCAAAGTACACGTTGTTACATGATTAAAAAGTGATTATATTTTCATTTAACCCCCCCCCCAAAAAAAAAAAAAAAATCACCAAACATACAGACCACAAGGTCCAGGGGCATATACCTTGGGGTCTCGAAGATAGTGAACAATTTCTTCTAGCTCAGCTTTTGCCTCATCAACACCCTTTACATCATTAAATTTCGTGTTAGATTCCAAGGTGGGTTGCACCTCTTCATTTAGACCAAGTCCTGAAAAGCCAACAGCAATAGAAAAAAAAAAAACACTTACTCAATTATAAATGAATATGAATCAAATAATAGAGGTACCTGCAATATCATGAGATATTAATACCTTTACTGATTCCTCTGTCCTCAATGAGTGCTCCTACACCTGAAATTAAGAGAAAGGCCATACCCAAAGCACGGAATGTACGCCACAACTGTTCTTTGAAATGCCCTCCTTCTGTAGCCACCATATGTATAGGTGCACTGGAAGTTCCAAGGACACCATCTTTTGTAGGTTTTCCCACATTCCTAAAAGCTGAAAGACCAGCTAAGCTTTCTTCCTCAAATGATGATTTAGCAGCACCTGCAATTCCTATAAAGAACTCACATTTACTCCAATTGAAATTTAAAATGCAGGGGAGGGGGTAGGTCTATGTTCTTAAAAATCAAATACATGTAAATTTGAGTGGTCCACAGTATATCAAGTTGAATATTTTAGTCATTCCATTTGTCTTCTATTTTCATGACCACAACCTATGAGTTAAGCATGTCATGTTCACTCCTGCTTTGTTGCCTTGCAAAACTTAATTATAAACTGATAATATAATTTTTGCTTCCATATTGCTACAGCATCACCATTGCAACCAAGATTATTGATTAAGACTAGTGCAGAAATTTCACCATTATGAAACACGAAAGTAATTTTAAAACACGAAAGTGTTTCAATGTTCGGCACAAAACAGAAACATTTTAAACAAGCAATGTCATCATACTTCTTATAACTACAAAAAAGGTTCACCAGAAAAATACTAAAGGAAAGAATATAAAATCATAAACATCAAATTGGAAAGAGCAGAACATATGAAATCCGCACACAGGTTCTCAATAAAAGAGATTTTTGACATTTAAGAGTAACGTTTTTTATTTACCTTTTTAAGTTAAATGCCCAAAACTATACCATATATAGTCATTCACATTCCAAGCGAAGGAAAACTGACGCAGAAAGAAAAAATCTATCCTTATCCATTTACTGATCCTTGTTCTTATAATTTAGTTTCGAAATAAAGGCAAAATTAATTAGAAATACATCCAACCCAGGTGACCAAGACTCCAAGCGTACCCACCAAACAGAAATTCCCAAGGGTCAATAAATTTCTTCCTGGGGAAGCAAAAACCTACTCAAAGGGGGGAAAAAGGACTAAATCCGATTGGCAATCAAGGTAGGAGGAATGTAAAGGCCTTCTTGTCTTTACACAAATGAATGGGGTTAGCTAGTTCCCAAAACAGCATAACAAGGCATAAGAACGATATGGTATAATGGTTAAGAAAAAAAAAAACATCTGAAGCCAAAAGAGTAATTTCATCCCACACCCACCTCGCTGCAACGTCTTCAGCAACTCACTCTCATCCAGCTTATCAACTTTAACTAATGCTTTAACATATTCTGAAAGTGCTGACGGGTTAGAATGTAATGAAGGTTGACTTTCAAAGAGCCTTATCACTGCTTCAGGATCATTTCGATGATAAAGCTCTTTAAGATATGCAGCATCACTTGATCTATCTGCATCCCGTACTCTGCGAGCTAAACTGCCAACATAACTTGACTGAAACCTTTCTTGAGCACTTTGAAGCCTACTCCCTACACAGAGAGGAAGAAAATCAATAAATTATTATTTGTAGAAGATATATGATTTCAATTCACATAATGCCTGGTCAGTGGATTCCCAAGAAAAAGTTACAGAACTTTGCTTTACATAAGTTGAACTAAAAATTGCATACAGCATTACACAGCAGAAAGATTCAATTATACACCCTAGCACAACTATCAAGGAAATTTGAAAATCAACTTCATATTTGATGTCAGAATTGTATTCCTTCTTTTGTAAACTCACCTCTACTAATGAGAGGCATGAAAGAATTTTTTTTTTCACCATTAGGAATTAATTTAGTGTAAAAATTAGAGCAGCTTTCATCTTTCTGATTGTCCATGGTTTTCTCTGTGCTATGTAAAGTTTTCAAGCGAGAAATAAGTAAATTTATTATTAAAGCTCCAAATCTTTATCAAATACAGAATTTTTTTTTTTGATAAGTAACAATAACATAAAAAAAGGCGTTCAAAAGGAGAACGCGTCCCTTATATAGAAATGGAACCGGGACTAAGGCCCCAAAGAATCCAGAAAAATAATTAAATCTTCAGAAGAAGAGCAAGAGCTCCTCTTCACATAATTGAAAAGAAAACAAAGAATTTAAAGTTTCACCATTGCCGTAGACGACTCTTTCTCTTTGAACATTCTACTATTTCTCTCCTTCCAAATGCACCACCATACACAATATGGGACAATTCTCCAGAAATCGCGTACATCCCTTCTCACCCGACATCCTCTCCAAACATGAATCAATTCCTTAGTAGATCGTGGCATTACCCAACACATGCCAAACAACCCAAAAATAAGATTCCAATAGTCGTTCGCCACAAGGCAATGCATAAAGAGGTGATCAACAGACTCCCCATCTTTCTTGCATAGACAGCACCAATTAACAATACAATTGCCCCGTTTCCTCAAATTATCAATTGTCAAAATCTTTCCCCAAAGGTCTAGACAAAGAAAGCCACCCTAGTTGGAGCCATGAACTGCCAAATAGTTTTCCATAGGAAGTCACGATTAACAAAATTAGACAGACATTAGAACAAGGATCTTACTTCGAAACGACCGTGGGAAGAAGGAACCCAAATCAAATCGTCATTATCTCTGCCAACACCCTCCTGTCGATACAGAAGAGCCAAAAAAACACATACCTCATCCATCTCCCAGTCCTGTAAAGAGCGCCGAAAGTGCACATCCCACGTAATCCTACTGCTACCAAGATGATAATAATCAGCTACATAGGCGTGTTTATCAACTGCAATACTGAATAATCTAGGAAATGTACGAGATAGTGGTTGATCACCACACCAAAGATCTTCCCAAAACCGAACATGACGTCCATCACGAACTTTGAATCTGATATGAGCAGAAAAGGCGTCCCAACCCTTCCGAATAGACTTCCACATCCCTACTCCTCCCACAAGAGTAACCGGACGTGTAGACCAACCACCATCCTCTTCCCCAAACCGACAGGAGACTAACCTGCGCAAAGGACGGTGTCTTTCCCTCCTATATCTCCATAACCATTTACCCAGAGGGGCTTGATTGAAAGGAACTAATCGTCTTATGCCAAGTCCACCCAATTTCACAGGCTTGCAAAATTGCTCCCATCTGACAAGGTGATACTTGAACTCATCACCCCTTCCTCCCCATAGGAAATCCCGTTGAATTTTTTCAATCCTATCCGCAACGGAACAAGGAATTTGGAACATAGAAAGAAAATAAGTGCGAAGGCTCGATAACATACTCTTAATAAGAGTAACTTTATCCCCCTTAGACATGTATTGCTTTTTCCATCCTGCCAATCTCTTCACATACCTGTCAATCACTAAATCCCAACTCCCCACTATCTTTAAAAAGACCCCTAGGGGCAATCCCAAATAAGGAATAGGGAAAGAACCCACCTGCATTTAAGAACTGCAGCTAAAGAGGAGATATCCTGAACATTCCCTACTAGGACAAGCACACTCTTAGCCACATTGACCTTTAGCCCAGAAACCGCCTGAAAACAAGTCAGGATGCACCTTAGATAACGAAGTTGAGACACATCAGCATCATAGAAAACCAGGGTATCATCAATGAAAAGTAAATGAGAAATCTCCATCTGATGGACTAAATCTCTACCCACTCTGAATCCCTTAATAAAACCAAAGTCCTCTGCGTTGTGCATAAGTCTGCTTAAACCCTCCATAACAAGAAGAAAAAGGAAAGATGACAAAGGATCACCTTGTCTTATACCTCGGGTGCAACCAAAGAAACCAGCGGGAGAACCATTCACAAGAATTGAAAACTTGAAAGACGAAAGACAAGTCTCAATCCACTTCCTCCATTTACTTCCAAACCCCATTCTTTGTAACAGATAGAGTAGGAAATTTCAGTTCACATGATCGTATGCTTTCTTAATATCAAGTTTGCATAAAACTCCAGGAAAACCACTTCGCAATCTGGAATCCACACATTCGCCTGCAATAAGAACTGAATCAAGAATTTGTCGTCCTCCAACAAAAGCGTTCTAGGAATCCGAAATAATCTCATCCATTACTTCCCTCATCCTTAGAGCGAGCACCTTAGCAATAAGTTTGTAGATACAACCCACCAAACTAATTGGACGAAAATCCTTTATGTCAGAAGCACCTCCCTTCTTAAGGATAAGGGCAATAAATGAAGCATTAAGCGACTTCTCAAAGACGCCAGAAGAATGAAACTCCTGAAAAGTACCCATTACCTCATTTTTTACTATCGCCCAACTTTCCATCAAGAAGCGCATAGTAAAACCATTAGGCCCCGGAGCTTTGTCCCCATTACAACTTGATAAAGCCTTTAGAACTTCTTCTTCAATAAAAGGATTCTCAATCCTATCTCTATCCACCTCAAAAATAGCCTCAAAATGGAGACCATCAAGTTTGGGTCTCCAAACTAATGGCTCGGTATAAAGCTCCTAATAAAAAGAAGCAATCCCGTTATGCACCTCCTCCTCTCTCCATAGCTCCACACCTTCCACCCGAATTCTTCCGATATGATTACTCCTCCTATGAGCGTTAGCTAATCTGTGGAAGAATTTTGTGTTCCTATCTCCTTCTTTTAGCCAAAGAGCCTGAGATTTTTGTCTCCACGAGATCTCCTTCATACTAGCAATCTCAGCAAGAATCGCCTGACAGGAGACTCTACTAGAACGTAGAGACTCCACATCCCTTCCCGCCTCCTCAAGACGATCAATCTCGGAAAAATCAGCAAGGACTCTGTTCTTCCTCCATTCCAAATTCTCGAAAACATCCTTGTTCCACTGCTTAAGAGCGAATTTGAGAGCTCTTAACTTCTTTGTTATTATGAAACTGGGCGAACCTGAAACAATGACTCCCTCCCGCCAAGATCTGACTTGCCCTTGGAAATCCTTCGCTCACAACCACATATTCTCAAATCTAAACGGGGATCTTCGAGAACACAAACCCCAACAATCCAAGACCAAAGAAACAAAATCAGAGGTGACCCTTGCTAACACCGCCTGAATAACATCCGGGAATTTCTTTTCCCACTCCCAGAGATTAAAAATCTATCCAGTCTTGAAAGAGTGATTGGATCCCTGCCATTTGACCAAGTATAGGCTGCACCTTTCATTGGTAAGTCAACTAGAAGATGCTCATCAATAAAATAAAAAAATTGATCCATTTCCAAGGACCTTCTTCCCCTAGTAGACCTCTCTGATAGGGACCTGACAGAGTTGAAACCCCTCCCAAGCACCAAGGGAGAGACCACAATCCTTGGACATGGCTAAGCTCCTCCAAGAAGATGGGTCGCTCATCATCCACAACCGGCCCATAGAGTCCAATAAAAACCCATTTGAAATTGTCCTCTTCCATATTGAACATACAAGACATAGAAAATATCCCCATCCACACGTTCGTTTGAGATAACCATCTACTGTCCCACATGGTTAAAATCTCACCCGAAGTACCTATAGCATTCAAGGCCTCCCATTCCACAAACCTTCCTCCCCCACAAACTCCTAACCACCCCATCAGAAATGGATGCCATTTCTTGTAAGCAAACAACCTGGGCACCCCACTTCCTTAAAGCTACCTTCACCACCCTTCTCTTATTCGGATCATTGAGACCACGAAAATTCCATGTAATGATTCGTAGGTTTATTAAAAACCTAATAAAATCATCTCCCCTCCACCCTTCCTAAGACTCCTACTCCTGGTCCTTCCCCTTTCATTCATCTATCCTCTTTTCCCTTCGTACTTGACTTCAGATATAAGATTCTTCATATCCTGTGCCCCTTTCCAAGACGATAAAGGCTTCGTGTTCATAACTTCATTGGACACTGCAACCCCTCTGCCTTCCACAATTGCTTGAAGGATGGATAACGTCTGATCGTCATTACCTTCTGAAGAGACTCCCAACAGCTCACTAGTGACTCCAATATTGTCAACTACCCAATCTTTCCCATGTCAGCAACCTCTTCATCAAGTCGCACCATAGCTAGTGGAGGAACCACTAGGATTTCAGAACCATTCTCCATCTAGGGTGCAAGCTCACTAGAACAAACCTGTTGGATAGATCCCGAATCATCAACTGCCTCCTCTTCAAACTCTCTTGTCATTCTCATAAAAAGAATCTGATTCTGTAGCAAAATCGTCTAACCCAACGAATCTTCCACTCATTCTCCTCAGCCGCTGCAGAAGGCATGCAGTTAAGGCCTTTCAAAGCTGCACTTAATCGAAGCTCTTTGAACAGAGCTACAGCCTCATCATTAGATAACTGAAAATGCAAATCTCTTCCCACACAGACTGTAACCCCTTCATAAAATTTCTTGACTGCACAGTCAGTGATTTCCATCTGCTTAGAAACACCAGAATCACTATCTTCCTTTCCTTCTATATTCAGCCCATGCATAAGGTCATTTCCAATGTCCGTTACTGACAGCCCACGCCTCTTTTCCAATTCTGTCACAACGCCGGCACTCCTCAACACCTCACAAGAAGGGATAGAAAAGGAGGATGGAATATTAAAGCTCTGAGGATGTGAAACTGAGGGCATACCTGGAACGAAAGAAGAAGTCCATTTCTGCTTTTCTTTTCGGGACCATCTAACTCCACTGTGAAAGTACTGAGACGAAGATCTGAAAATTCGTCCCTTCGGCTCTGTAGAATCAGAGAGGGATGAAGTTGAGATACCTACGCAACACTAAGAGTGACACGAACCCTTCTTGACAGGACCTCCACCAACTGCGGCAGCAGATAAATTCATCCATCTCTTCTTCTCCGGTGAATTCCAAAAAGTTGCAGAGGTGTCATTAGAATGACGGCTCTATGAATGGCTTATTTTTGTAGAAGTAGGTGGGCTGGGCTTGGAGTTAATAAAAGAGACTGAGATTTTATTATTGGGCCCCGTAAAACCTCTCTCTTCAAATTGCTTATAGAATGTGGGCTGGTCTCGTTTTGAAAGGAAACAGCCCCGTTAAGCAGCCCTCTTAATCTCCTGTGGGCCGTGATGAACTAGCGGCCCACTTGTAATGTTAGGCCCATAGCCCTTTGTAGATCCACGCTTAGGCCCAACAGAACCCGCTGCATAAAAATCTTCTTTAATGCCACGATCATGGCCACGTGGTTGCTATCCGTTAGCGTGGATATTACGAGGGAACGAAAGGCGATGACTGAGGGCATGATTAACACAAGTCTTGGATCTGCCTCGTCTACGCGCTTCTGGCGCGTGAAAAGGCAGTCGCCTCTTTCCTTCAACGCCTTGGTGGTTCTGTGCATTCCGGCGACTACCTTCAGTTGCAACAGCCAAGATGTGTGGGCTCTCTCCAAGACCATAGTAGGATTTCGAAAGGATGCGAGGTGTGTTTTCCTCTATTAGATTAACCCTGAAAGCCACTCGTTGGTCCTCAACAAAAACATACTCAGTTATCACTTTTCCGACGGAAACATAGAGGAGGATTCTCTATCCATTCACCAAAACGTCTGCCTCGACACCTCGAAATCCACCACATAGGTTCCCAATTGCTTCAAATAGCTTGTTACACAATAGATGGAGGGGCAAACCAAACAAGATCACCCTTCGTATTATTCTCTCTTTTACAGCAAAACAACCAGCCGCGAAGTACCAAATGTGGATGGATAATAAGGTTTCGCCCCATCTCTTCCTCCCTTCATCCAAAACCCTTAAGGCCTCAACTTCTGATGGAAACCTGAACAATAGCAGATCGTCGGGTAAAGGAGAAACTTTCACCCCACTTGAAACCTTCCAAGTTTTCGACGCCCATGATTCAATCCCGTCAGTACTCCCCACATCTCTGTCAAAGCGACCTACCAGACATGATCGCAAGGCAGATTCTCGTTCCTTGATGCTTTGATGATCAACCCTAAAAACCAAATCATTGCCTATAAAGCAGCTTTTGATTTCTCCATGGAGGTTGAGATGTGGTAAGGTCGCAACACTGAGATCGGATCGATGCATATCATGGTTCCTTACCACCAAATCGGAGATCCAATAGCTCAAACTCGAACATAAACGGCTGACGCCGGAGTGAGACTCCGTCATCAAAAAGAGAAAAAAGAGGAGAGAGAAGAAAGAAAAGTCAAACATAGTCAACTCTTGTCTGGAAAAACCCTTTTCCTTTATCAAATACAGAATTATTGTGATGATGACACACAATCCTTGGAAGGTATTGGCCTGGCCTACTATGCAATTTCACTTTGCCAGTACTATCTAATGGGTCCTTCAAATGGTCCAAGCAGTTCATTACGATAAGCAAAACATTTACTACCTGGGACACTAGATTCACTACAAATCTTGAAGAACTCAAAACTAATTATCAACATTTCAAGTGATCTATACGGCCTAACATGTAGCAGAATGGTTAAGGATTTATACAGTGAACCCAACAGTTCTCAAAGAAGCTCTCCTGGGTCAAGAACAGTTTATGATCCAGGAATTCAAGGATGGATCCCACCATTCAAACTAAAAGCTAAAATTTTCTCGGTATCGTTTCAATGCAATGGTTATACTCTTTTTTTTTTTTTGATAAGTAATGCAATATTTATACTCTGACTTTCAAATAAAGAAGGATTTAGTTAATTGAGGATCTAAAATAAGCACCACCATCACCATCACCATCACCCTCCCCCAAAAAAAAGAAGTATAATCCTCTGCATTCACACTGATTAATTACAAACATTTCCTTTATTCAAACTAAAAAACTATAAACATTTATTTAATTTATCTCTTGCTTATAGTCTAGCAGACCACCTTCTTTGCTTTTGTTTCCGGCACGAAGTGTGATTAGAGACTAGAGATAACAATGGTCACCTAAAACATATAACTGCATGAATTGGTATTGAATTAATTGTGTTCGTGTCTTGCATTTTACTAAGCAGGCAGAGATCCAAGGTAAGGCAATAAAGCTTTATTTGATCAAACATGAAAAGCACTAAAATGGAATTGTGGACAGAAGCTTTAAAAGGGGAAAATAAAAAACTAAAGTAAGTTTGACTACGATAGTCAATATCGAGATGAATCTTGCTAAAACTTTATTCAACATTGAATAATACGGGGTAATTGAATATGCCATTGCCACAGTCATATTAATGCAGGATAAATAAAAAGATAGATGCATGTCAAAAATGTTTTGTTACTGGCACACACTTGTCATATTAAAGGGGCTTCTTTGTAAAACAGAAATATGATCAGCCAAGTATTTTGTATGAAGTAATTCTATGTAAGCCAATAAGAAATGCTCTATATAGAAAAAAAGAGAATGTAGAGAGATGCCTCTGGCAAGACAAACATGGATAAAAAGTGCCAAGAAAAGTGACGACAAAATCCCACAATTCCACACACTGATATTTCATCTTTGGAATCTTCCTATCTTCTTTCGTCCAATAAGTATCATCAAGATCCTAATGTTCAAGTCTCCTTGGTTGGAGAAGAAGATTTGGCTAGTCCGAAAGATTGTGATGCTACGATCTGAAGACTTTCCCATTGCTGAATTCTTTCTAACATAACTTCAAAAAACCTAAAAACAGTGCTTTTTGGATAAACATTCTACTGGAGTTGAAAGATAATCCAATGGATAAGTTTCCACCTAAATAGTACAAGATAAAATTAAGGTCTTGATGGTAGACAGGATCCAGCACGTGCAGGCCTCTTATTATGCTAGACAAAAATGCAGACAGTGAGTCTCTAACAACAAATGAGAAAACTCCATTGCACCGATTTATAAGACTATGGAGAAGGTTGCAAGTTGCAACTGGCATGGAGAAAGTCACATCAGTAAACTGTGCAATTAAACTTGGATATATTCAATCATAACAATCAAATAAATCAAGACACCAGCCTTACTGCTAATTGAAAGTACTTGATCTTGAGTAGCGAACAATTACTTTGCTGGATACATGATATACCAGTTACTGACAGGCTGCTTATCTGTGTCAGTTGACAACAATCCCCATGCTTTTATTTAAATTCAAGTGGGAAAAGCATAAACAAGCATAAACTCGTGAGTCTAATTAAATCATTAAAAACGTTTGCAGAAGAAATTTTAAGAACTGATAAGCAAACGATCAATGTTTACAACAACCACAATTTGTACTTGTCAGATTTCATTTAACATTGCGTATTACAATTTTAATTAGTACAAAAGTCGTCCAGGTTCTCAAATATAATACTTTGTTGCAAATATATCTAGTCCACAGAAGTGAACAAAACTAATTGTATATCATCAACTTGGAAAACAAATAGCAAATGAACAGTAGCATAAAAAATGATTTCAATAAAATACATACATCTGCTGCCTCCGAACTTTGGAAATGTCCAATAAGATCTAGCAAAATGATTGTTTAGTAGCTGCAACTGTGATTGCTTCCTTAAAACCTGCTGCAACAAAAATGCAAAGTATTAAGAGAGTAAAGGAAGATAACAAACACCAATATCGATACAAAGTACTGGTCAAGTATAAAAAGGCAAGAAATGCAAGCATTCAAACAACAAAATACCCACATTTTTTCATGGTACGACACCTTCATCAAACAAACAAAAGAAGCACAATAAAACACACATGCCAAAATAGTACAGAACAAGTAGTACTAGCAAAAGATAGATATAGAAGCTAGTTGTGGAAAAAAACTGTGCTTTCACAAATGGTCAGGTTCTGACTGAACCAGGTTTCCGTAATCAAATACACATAAAAATGCAATTTTCTCCAATGAAACCCTCAGCTTTGAAACCAAAAAAATACACTTCAACCATTATTGGCAAATCGACTTCAATTTGTGTATAATCATCTCTTCTGCTTCTATTGTAACAAAATGTTCCATCTTTATGTGGAAAAAAGTAACTGTGTCACTGCACATGTATAACAGCACAACCCACACCCACCAAGACTACAAATTGATTAGACCACCAAAACTACAAATACCCTTCAACTATTATTAGCAAATCGACTTCGATTCATGAATAACCACCTCTCTTCTGCTTCTATTGTAACAAAAGACTCCATTTTTTATGTGGAAAAAACACTCTCTTCGACTGTATGGTACTGGACAAATACAACAGCACAACCCAAACCCACCAAGACTACAAATTGATTAGACCACCAAGACTGCAAATAACCTTCCAACTATTATTATCAAATCCACTTATATTCGTGAATAATCCACATCTCTTCTGATTCTATTATTAGGTTTTCAGACACCACAGCCAATTGCAAAAAAAAAAAAAAAAAAATCATGAACACTCGAAGAGGGTTGTTGAAATGTTCATTAAGAAAAAAGGAAAATAGCATATACAAATCTATGATATGCGATTTGTAAAGAAAGATTGAACTGACCTGTGTGAGAAAGCGCCTCGAAGCCATCTTCCTTGTGAGAGCTCGACAAAGTCCTATCACTCTCTCTCTCTAACCTTCCTTCCTCTAGAACTATCTTCTTATATATATTTATCTGAATATGTATTATGTGTTCTGTATATGTTACCGAAATGATTTTAGAGAGAGAAGATGTGGAGAGTTCGGGAGAGGAGAGGAGAGATTTTTCATGGGCTGAAGGAGAGAGGTCACACTAAAAAAACCCATAAATTTTCTTCCATATTCTTGACTTTCTTTCTCTCTCCTCTTTCTCATTTCAATGGAATTTAAATGGAAAGTGATTTTTTTTTTTTTTTTTTTTTGTTATCCTGATAAACTAGAGAAAGAGAGATTGGATACACAGTTAAAGTCGAGCAGTATATGGACTACACCATTAGATAATGTCCAAATGAAGAGTGTCTTGTATAGTTGTATTGTATGATTAATCGAAGATTGTTGGGATTAATTTGATAATTGATTGTCACCATTAGATTTTTTTGTTTGTCCCCATTAGATAAAGCTATCAACTTTAAATCATGGACCGCGAATTGACACGTATTAATCACTGTCTTTGATTAGTGCACCAATAAGATTATCTTAATTTGAGTCTCACCTATTGTTAGTTGTTAGATTGATTAGAGGAGTACCGGTTGAACTAAACAAGGTGTTGGTTCGCTTTAGTGGCATTGTAATGCATTATGGTATTTTTTATTAAAAGAAATATAAAAAAGATCCTAATTTTACTTACTGTGTCATTCATGTAAATAAGTCATTACTACTTCTTGAATTGACCCAATTGTCATCAACGCTTAGATGTATTTTGTTTCACATGAAACGGTGGAATGTATATTAATGGCTAGTTTGGTGTGGTGGAATGAATTAGAATGGAATGAGAATGGAATGATCATTCCTTTTATTTGAAGGTGGAATGATTTTATCCTATGTTTAGTGTGCAGGGATGAAACAGAATGGAATGCCCATTCCGGTCATTCATTTGTCTGGTATGTAACTTAAAGTGCGAATTGCCATTCTTGGGAATGAAAATCCATTCCACAACTAAACCTGTTGAATGGTCATTCTATTCCCAAGTAATTTATTTTAAAAAATTGACTTCCCAAAACACCCTCATATTCCAAATCCAAAAACCACCATTACCTTCCACCACAATCATCTCTGCCTTTCACCACCACCACTGACTTTCACCATTGTCCACCATTTTCCACCACCACCACTGCCACCGCCTTTCACCACCGCTACCGCCACCGTTTGATGCAACCACCACCGTCGCCTTTCACCACCGCTACCGCCACCACTACCGCCACCACCACCACGGCTACCGCCTTTCACCACCGCTACCGCCGCCACTACCGCCACCACCACCACGGCTACCGCCTTTCACCACCGCTACCACCACCACCACCACTACCACCATCGTCGTCTTCCACCACTGCCGCCTTTCACCACCGCTACAGCCACCACTACAGCCACAACCACCACCGCTACCGCCTTTCACCACCGTTACCACCACCGTCGCCTTTCACCACCTTTCACCACCACCACTACCGTCGCCTACCACCACCACCACTATCGTTAATTTAATTTAATTTATTTGTTACTAAGAGAGATATTTTGGAGAATTCAATTAGAAATTTATTCCAATCTAAATTTTAAATTGGTCCAACCAAACACTAGAATAGTTATTATCATTCCATTCCTACATATTTCATATTTACAACCAAATAATAGAATGTGAATGACCATTCCCTTCCATTCCATTCCCATTCTCATTCCATTTCCACTTGCATTCTATTCCATTCCTACACACCAAATGTAGCATTAATGGAATGACCATTCTCCATGGGGAATGATAATTTCAACTTTAAAATTGGTACCATGATAATAGGAAAAAAACCATTCCATTCTACTTTCTTTTATTTCATTCCATCACACCAAACTAGCCCATATAGAAAACCCGATATATGACTAGTCCTTTTGAGCGTGAAAATGACCGGCTATGGTGCCAATCATTAGGAAAACTATTTTGCAAATTCGATATGTTTTGTATTTTTTCTTTTCCTTTTATTTCTCTTTATCAATCTCAAAATGTTTGGTTAAAAAAATAATAATAAATAATAAATCTCTAAATGTTAACTTAAGGTTCAAATGTTTCACTAGGGCAAAGGGTGAGCAGACCATCAAACCAGTAACGGTCCCAATTTTATTTAAAAATTGGTTGGGACTCGAACAAATGGGGGGTAAAGGGGAGGTGACCTTTGGGACAAAAGTTATCTTTTGTGGCAATTTCTATGGAATGACAACCAAACAAGGTAATTATGTAGAAAATTGTTTATACCCTTTGTGGTAAGTGCTGAGGTTTTACAAAACACTTTTGGTTATACACCAGACTTCATCAACTTTAATTGTTCCAATTATGTAGAAAATTACATCCAAATATTTTGTTACTTCGATAATTCTAAGCCCATTGCTCTAAAAAATTTATATTAGTATTTTTTTTTTTTTCTTTTGACTTGGCAATGGTTAGTGGAGTTAGGGAATTAGGCGTTAAAAGGGGAGGGGAAATGTTGTTCTTAAATTTCGAAAATGGGTCAAAGCCCCCCAAGCAGCACACGCCCTACAGCTAGACTAGCACCGCAATTGCTAAAAATTCAAATTGGTCATCAATTGAGTTGAGCTTTAATTTTATTGTTCAATGGAATTGATATATAAATATATAGGTTAAGTGCAAAAAAAACCCCCGGATATATAAACTTTGTGTAAAACTAGTCCCTACTTTTTGAAAATGTGCATGCAAGTCCACAAAATTTAAAAAACGTGCAGAACTAGTCCCTCTGACCACCTTTAAAACTGAAAACCCCATTTTACCCTTTTGTTTCCCATTTTACCCCTCATCTATTTGTGCATATAACCCCCTCTAAACCCAATTTGGTTTTCTCTCTATATTGTTATATTATACAATATATACACACATACATATATATCTTCTCCGGTGGCCACCTGCCCCAAGAAGAAAGGGTGGAAAAGTTTGTGTCAATTGTTGAGAAGTTTTTAGAAAGAGTTTTTGGTGGCTTGGAGGAGCAATGTCTGCAAGCAGCAACTTGAGATCTGTATCAATCTTGATATACAACTTGCTGATGTTAATTTGCAGATTGCTGGGTAGAACCTGATGCAAAGACTAGAGTTTTACAGCAAAATATTCTCAAACAACAGAAGAATTTATTGTAAAAAGAAAATCTATGATTTAAAAAATGAGTGTTTTTGAAAAATTTCATTCGGATTTACCAAATAAATAAATAAATAAATAAGCAACTTAAATTAGGAATTATTTTAGTTCTTGATTTTGCCTTCTTGAAAAATGAAATGATATGTTACTTTTAAATTTAATCATATTTATTACAAGATATGCAAATAGGTACCGTTTTCTGAAAATGGTTTCTTATCATTTCTTAGATTTTAGTCGGTTGATGTTTTTCCTCTCCCGGCAGCCATAGCTACGTGAATCCGACGCCGCCTTGAGTTGTGCACAATTATTGGGTTTGAATATTTGGGCAAAAAAGCTTTGTTTGGGTAATTGGAGGTGATGATGGGTTGGTGTGGCTTAGAAAAAGTAACAAAGCAGCTTTGGTTTTCAATTAGAGGTGATAATGGCCAAAGAAGATTAACTCTCTCTCTATATATATAGTATATACACATACAGATATGCATATCCATCTCTAGCACACATCAACAAAGCTCCAAACATAGCTCATAGAGGATCTCCCACCTTCCTCTCAACTATTATCCTCTTTCTCATCCTCTACGACCTCTCCTATGGCTGATTCATCACCGGCCGTCCATCCTTGGCGCTCTACCAAATGCTATGCTCATTCTCGGTACGGGATCTTATTTCGATCTCAATTTGTTTAATTTTGATTCGATTTTGATTCTATTTGGTGGTGGCGAACAGTGGGTCTGGGGTTTGAATTGATGCTCCGATCAGTTTGTTGCAGAGGGTGATTGTGGTTGCACTAGGCGGTGATGGGTGGTGGTAATGGAGGTTGGGGAATATTTGGTTTTAGTTTTAATTATATTCAGGTTTAGGTTATCCCTATTTTATACAATTTGAGGTTTATTTTATCCTTCTACCAAACAAACATAATTTTACATAAATTTGGACAAAAGGGTCATTTTACATGACCGGTATTTATAATCATTAATTTATTCAACTGAAGTGAGGGTATTATCGTCATTTTACACCACACAGGGACCTATTTGCACCAAATTAATAATATAGGGGGGTTTTTTACCACACAGGAATTGATATGCACTATATCGATAGTAGAGAGGGGTTTTTTGCTCTTTAAAACAGTAAGCCGTCTCTCTCTCTGTTCTTCATCGTTTTCAATTCCGGTGAGTTTCTGATGAACTGACCTTCATACCTAGGGTTCCTAAGTGTTTAAATCAGGTTCTAACTTATACCAGAATCCACTAAATTCATTGTTCAGTTACTAAAATTAATTAAAACATGAATTTTGCATCAAGAGTTTAATACGAGCAGTTTAAGCATTCCGGAGCATCGACTATTGTAGCAAATCAAACTTGCAACCTAAATTAATTCTAGTGCTTCCCAACATGTTATAGAACTAATTAAAATCATTACTCATCAGTTTACACGAATTAAACAGAGGTTACACAAGGAAGAAATTAAAACAAACAATACACACGTTTCAACTACAATCAGTTTTAAAACAACAGAGGTACAAGAAACCCAGTTTAATTTTAATCTTTAACAGTTCCATGGAGTTGTGTTAGACATGCAAAGAACACGAGGCAACGGGAAGGAGTGAGGATTAGAACTTGCCTTTAGGTCTCAGTTTGAAACCTTGCACCGTTGCTTCCTAAATTCTCCGGCGAACTCTGACTACTGTAAGCCTTCCTCTGTTCTCTCTCTCTGCCTCCACCGACGTGTTTAAGTTCTAAAACCCTAGGTAAACCTTAATGTATATATTTATAGGATTAAGGTTACCCTAATTCTAGTCCTAATACTAGACAGGCAACTAAGTTGGCTAAAGAAAAATAAAACAAAACCCTAAGTTCAATTAACGAAAAATAGAAAAAAAATAAAATACAATTTAATAACTAATTAATTAATTCACAAACCACCACTAAATAAATAAAAACTAATTAATTAATTCACAAACCACCACGAAATAAATAAAAACAAATAAAGTCACACTTAATCAACAAATTCACAACTAAATAAATAAAAACACAATTTAAATAATTAAATAAATTCTAGAACTATCCTTGTTAAATTAGGGGTATTACATTCTTCCCCCCTAACAACAGGAATTCCGTCCTCAGAATTCGCTCTTACCTTATTCCC